TGAAATGGCCTACACAATCCAGTGGGATAATCTTTGTTTGGACACGGCGTGGCCGTGACCCACCGCTCTTTTTGGGTACGATGAAGTATGGGCTGTAAAACCCGCTCTCTATCTCGGCTGGAGGTACCGGCTCGATTGCACCCTTCGCCAGGAGGGCAGCAATCTCCTCTCGCAAGACAGGGGCGGACAGGGGATTGACCCTTGTGAAATACACGCCCGTGAACTTGGGAGGCCGTTTCGAGAACTGTAGTTCGTAGCCGAGTCTGATCACGCGTATGAGCCACCGCGAGGGGCTGGCCCACGCTAACCAGGTAGACAGAGCCCTCGCTAATGACGTCATCGCAGCAATCATTGACGTACCCGCGAAGGGGCAGCGCGGAGCGGGTGTGCTGATCCGGGGAGCACGAGGGTCCCACAGAAGAGCTGGAGCAGAGCGATTCGCTCTGGCTCCGCACCCTGACTCCGAAGGGGGGGCTTGGGGGCTGGGAGAAGGGAGACTGTCCCCCCAGCACCCGTGAGCCGCTGGCGGAGTATGCAGACCCTGTGAGCTGAGAGGCAGCGCGTCCCAAACTGGCAGGGCTTGAGCTGTGACATCCGGAGAAGGGGAAAAATGCTCTTTGTTCAAAACTTTGGTGGCACTGAAAAGTACCGTTGGAATATGGGCCCTGCCCTCCAGCGGGGAAAGAGCAAGTTTCCTCCTCTCCGGAGTGCCTGTCTCAGGGACGCTTCGCGGTCCGTTTACTGGACTTAGCGGCGCCCTGGGCAGGAGGGGCTGCCGGCTTCCGGCGTGCTCGACGCGCCCGCTTCGCCGGAGGCAGGGCAGCGGCCGTTGGCGGTTGCCCTCGGCGAGGAGCAGCGGAGGTGGATGGCTCGGCGGGGGACGGAGCGGGCTTACGGTTCTGCCGATAGATGACATTGCCCATCGCATCCGACTGCTCCTTCACCGCCTTGAACTCCTCTGTGAATTCACCGACGGTGTCGCCAAACAGGCCAGCCTGGGATATGGTCGAGTCAAGAAAGCGAACTTTGTCAACATCGTGCATATCTGCCAGGTTTAGCCAGAGGTGGCGTTCCTGGACCACAAGTGTGGACATCATCTTCCCCAGTGCGCACGCGGCGGACTAAGTAGTCCGAAGAGCATAGTCGGTCGCGGTGCGCAGCTTGTGTAACAAGCCTGGGTTAGACCCACCCTCGTGCAGCTCGGCCAGCGCCTGCATTTGGTAGCGCTGGTAGGTGGCCATCGCGTGCAAGGCGGAAGCTGCCTAGCCCGCAGCCTTGTAAGCTCTAGCTCCGAGGGAGGCAGATAACCTACAGGCTTTGGACGGGAGACGGGGCGGACCGCGCAAAGTAGGGGCGCCACGCGGACAAAGATTGACGGCAATGGCGCGCTCCACCTGCGGGATCGCCTCATACCCCCTGGCAGCTCCACCATCCAGGGTGGTGAGGGCGGAGGCGGACGCAGAGTGGGCAGAGAAAGGTGCCCTCCAGGACTGCGTGAGCCTACTGTGCACTTCCGGGAAGAAAGGGCCGAGAGGCTTCAAAGGCTTCGCCTTTTGGTCGTTTACGTAACACTCATCTAGTCGGTCCGGCCGCGGGGCTGGGGGATGAACCATCTCCAACCCGACGACCGAAGCAGCCCGAGAAAGCACGGCCAACATGTCCGCTTCAGGATCCGTTTTGACGGCGCTTGCTTGCCCAGAGGGGGCGAGCGGGTCCGGATCATCATCAGACAATGAAAGCCCACCCTCCGATGCCGCGGAGGACATCTGATCTCCGGTGTCAGCGAGCGTAAGAGCTGCCATCTGATTAGACAGATCACTCCCAACACCCGAAGCTTGGATGGAGCGCTTGGAGGAGCGAGAGGTCCACGAGCCCTTAGGCGGCGGATTATCTTTCGCTGGAACCCTCAGATCTGCCCAAGCGCCCGCTGCAGAGCAGGAGGCGACTGGGGTGGCTCGCTCTCTTACGAAAGTTAGCCACGATCTCAACTGCGCGACGGTCATGGCATCGCAGTGACGACATGAACCGCCCCCCCAGCACCACATTAACATGCTGGACCCCCAAACATGTAATGCAGTGATCGTGCCCATCATCCGGAGCCAGGAAACCCCCGCAACCAGAAACGCACAGTCGGAGTGCCATCCTGAAAAGGACGTGCTGCACGACTGTGTTGCTATTTTTGGAAACTGCAACAATACGCACCGCTCTGGAGGACCGGACCCAAAGGAACGCCAGGCAAGGGAGAAAACCCAGCTTGACCATCTGCCGCTGCGTGGACTCGCTCTGGACCGGGAGAGACTCGTTCGCTCGATGTGGCTGTAGACAGCAAGAGGAACCCCTTATGAAGCTTGATCAGAAAAGTCTCTGAAGCGAAAAGGATGGCGTTCGCTGGCGCCAGGTGTGCTGCGCAAGCTTACGCTGCCAATACATTGCTTTCATTGGCCTGTTCAATACTCTTTCAGACAAGTAGCTTCTGAACCGAATCTCCCATACGTGGATTTAGAACATCAAATCCACTTATAGTACTGGAGTTCCCCAAACGAAGGGGAACTAACACTACAATACAATTACAGCACTGCTAATACTCCCTTTAGACCACAGTCAATTAATTAGTTACAGATCAACTCATGTAATGTAATGTAATGTGTATAGCACATTTATTGTGTAAGGTCATACACCCAAAGCGCTTCACAATCATGAGGGGGGCATCCACTTGACACTATTTTAACTGAGGCACAAGATGGCAGGAGCAGATTTTCTGTGCATGTTCAGGGAAATGAAATTAATGTACTGATATAAAGCATTGGCATCAGTGGTCAGGGAATACTAGTGAACTTTCTAAACTCTGTTTTGCTGCTCTTGATTATGCAGAATCACGTTTTCTAGCAACATAAACATGTATTTGCTACGTTTCTCACAATCACAACTTTCTTTTATTTATTACTATTTGAGCAAGCTTGCAACTGACAAAAAGTCAGAATTGCACAATATAAAAAAGAATGGCAAGAAATTTAAAGTTTTTCAAGTAATTTTCAAGTAAAATTTCAAGTAAATTTGAGTTTACATCTTTACATCTCACAATTCTGAGTTTACATTCTACAGGTCTGAGTTGACATCTCGCAATTCTGAGTTTACATTTAACAATTCTGATTTTACATCTTTCGAGTTTACAACTCACAATTTTGAGTTTACTTTTCACAAATTTTGATTTTGTCACAATTACAACTTTACGTTTTACAATTCCAAGTTTACATCTTGCTATTCTGACTTAACTGGATATCTTGCAATTTCAGAGATTACTGTTCTCAATGTTTACTTCTCGATATTTTAACCTCTCATCCGTCTTTTTTTAAACCGAGGTCCTGACTCTCTGTGGTCATTAAAAATCTAAGGATGTCCTTCGAAAAAGAGTAGGGGTTTAACCCTGGCATCCAGGCCAAATCTGCCCATTGGCCTCTGTCCATCATAGCCTCCTAACCCCCCCATATCACAATTGGCTTCATCACTCTGTCTCCTCTCCACCAATAAGCTGGTGTGTGGTGTGCGGTCTGGTGCAAAATGGCTGCCTTCGCGTCACCCAGGTGGATGCTGGAAAAGGAATCATTATTATTATTACTATTTGGAGTTCAGATTTTACAATTTACAATTCTTTTTGTAAGTTTACAACTCACAATTCTGAGATTACATTTTGTAATTCTGAGTTTATTCCCTGAAATTCTGACTTTGTTTTGCAATTCTAAGTAGGGCTGCACAATGTAAAGACTTGTGCCACCGTCTTTATGCTTCTCTCCTAAACTTAAAAACAGAAATGGGAGACTCGAGTCACATGACTTGACTTGAGTCAGACTTAAGTCATAGAATTTAGGACTTGAGACTTGCTTGACAGATAACTAAAAAGGACTTGACTTGATTTGGACTTGACTGTCATGGCTTGAGACTTGACTTGGACTTGAGTTAAATGACTCGAAATAACCTGCTTTTGTTAAATACATAATCGTTTATATTGTGCATTGCACGGGTGCCCGCAAACAAGTGATAATCTCCCGGAAAACCGGCGTCTCCCTCCCAGTCCTCAAAAATGTCGCGCACCCTTCTCACCCCTCCCCACTACATCCATCCTCGCTCTTTAGACACATCATGCGCACCCTGTCAAACACCACAAAACCACTACCACCCCTTGACAGCTGAGCGGGACTCTGCAAAATAAATCGTAGAACTGACCAATGTGAGGAGAGTTTACTCGCACGTGACATGTTTTAGCTCTTTTGCTCTGTTTAGAAACGTTGTCGTGTGAAAGCGAACTGCACCAAGAACAAAGAGCAACACTGTAACAGTTTGAATCTCTGTTTCGGATTCACAGAGTGACTTGCTAGGCCAAGCTATGACTTGACTTGACCTAAAATAATCAGTGACTCGACTTTACTTGACTTAAGTCTAACAAAAATTGACTTGACTTAAACTTTTTCCGATTAATTGTGCAGCCCTAATTCTGAGTTTACCTTTTTAAATTCAAAGTTTACATCTTCCGATTCTGAGTTTACATTCCATAATTCTGACTCTCACAATTTTTTACCATTATGAATTTTCATCTTGCATTTTAAAATTGATGTCTCTCTATTATGAGTTTTCATGTTGTTAATATTTACTGTACAAATTCTTTCTTACAAATTGGAGTTTACATCTTACTACTCTGACTTCTGAGTTTACATCACCATGGATGGAGAGTTTCTATACTAAAATTGGTCTCTAATATATTGAATTTCATGTGTGTTTAATTTTTTTTGTTGTAATTTTAATATTAATTATGAATTTACCATCGTTTTTTCATATTAATAAAGCAAGCAGAAAAGATGTTATGTCTGGTTATTTCTGGTTATTTATAACACCAGCTTAGAGTCCTTTTGGAGATGTGACGTAAGTAAATAAGTAGACATATTTCTGTGGATGAGCGAATAAACTGATAGTGTAAATGAGATAAAGTGATCACAGCGTTCACTCTCATCATCCTAATAGGTTTAGTTAATGTTTACCTTATACGCCAGGGTTCAAAAGTCAAGTATTTATGTGAAAGACACAAACCGGTAAGAACAGAGAAACTAAAACTGGAAGATTTGAGTCAAGAAGGACAACAAAGGGCAAACCATGATCGCAATCACAGAGTTTCAGAGTGAGTGACATTTGCTGAATATAATTGAACAAATATATAATCAATTAAACAAAATTTATATGATCAACTGAACAGTAACAGACTACATGTAAACTGTGAGAGTTCTTGTCAATAAAAAACAAACGTGAGATCATTTAGATCTTGCTTTGTTAGCTAAAATATTTGTGTTCCCATCACAGATAATATGACCACAGTAATATTTGATTGACTAGTATTACAGTTGTAACCAGTCTGTTGTTGCTGAATTCTAGAGATCGGTGTTGGTCTGTCAGGATTCGGCGTGTTCTTTGTGCTGTTTGGGATTCTGCTGTACTTTGACTCAGTCCTGTTGGCGTTTGGAAACGTAAGTGCATTTAGATATGACACATACTGTAAAGCTATCGTCTGTATATCTCTGCTCATAGAGAGTGTTTCTTAAAGAGACACCCACAAAATTTTCACCCAAAATAATGAATAATTGACCACTTTGGAATTATACACTATAAAAAAAATGTAATGATAAGAAGCCAAGACAACAAATATGTTTATGTTGCTTTAATCTACTTTATTAAGTTGATCAGGTTTCAACAACTTTTTTTTGAGTTATAGAAAGTTTAACTTAATATTTTTAGCCCATTTGGTTGATGTAAGTTAAGATGTCTTTCGCGTTTATTGGATTCGACTAAAAAATGTTAGGCAACAAGTTATTTTTTTAAAAGCGTAAGCTTCTGGCTTCATTTTTAGTGTTTTTGAGATATTTAGGTTTCTTTCTTTTTTCAAAAACTTGCATTCAGTATAGTAAAAATAATGTGGGAATAGTGTTTTCTATATACACAAAATGTGGAAAAAAAATAATACATCACATATTGCAAATTTGTGATTAAACCCATTCTGATAAAAATGTCAGAAAAAGCCAAAGTGACAAAGTTTGACATCAGTATATGAAAAATATGTACATGTTCATAAAGGCATAAGCACATCAATTTGTTTAAACAACATTTACTTTTGATTAAGCAATAAATATCTATTTTTGGGGGCAAGTAAACTATGTTAAAGTTTACTAATTTATTAAGTAAATAAAATATCATACTATTCATTAAGTATGAATTACATTTCACAATGTTGCCTTTTTTATGGAATTTTGAATCTATTAAATGAAGTCTTTCTAAGCATAAAATACTTTTTACAGAGACGTTAAAGACAGCATGGAACTGCCTGAAGCTACTTTGATTAAAGCTAATGATTTACAGTATAAGTTTTTCAGTATGCCATAAATCAGAGATGACCAAAGAAGGGTCCGTGGGCCAAAGTTGGCCCATTGTAACCTTTTATTTGTCCCATTATCCAATTCTGAGAAGAGAGTGAGAAGGATGGAGAGTGTTGGGGTGAATGCTTTTAAAAGAGATTGTCATTTGTAATTTGACATAACTTTTTAAGTTTGTTTTATTGATGAGCTGCAAAAAAACTAACAAAAATGAAATGTTTAAAGTAAATGTTGTAAATAAATCTTATTTTTAAAAATGTAAACAATGTAAACAAAGTCACTCAATCGATAGAGAACTATGCAGAAGACATCAGTGAGGAAATCAAGGCAAATCATCTCCATTCTGTTCTAAATGACATTGTTTTTTGTTTACTATAATATGTTTATTATAAAATGTAATAATATATTATAAATATTATAAACTATTAATTTAAAGCAATGTTTTGTGGTTATTTTTAAATATTATAAAAGAGCCCCTATTATGCATTATAAAAGGTCATATTTGTTTTTGTGGTCTTCAACAACAGTCTGATATGCATGCAAGGTCACAAAACACTTTCGTTGTTTTATAATATGTGGTTATTTTTACCTAATTCTCCCAACCCCATATGTGTTGTTAAGCAGACCATTTGTTCCCAAACCCCTCCTTAGCATGATGTTAATCTGCGCTGATTGGTCCGATGACCCAAACTGTTGTGATTGGTCAACTCCGTTCAGCAAGAGACAGAGAGAAATGGTCAGCACGGCTTATCAACAATTTTGAAGTAGTCAGAGTGCAGATTGTATGTGTGAGTCCAGTGCAGGAGTGCATTAAAGCAATGCAGTTTAACACTAGCATATCGCTCTATTCTTAACCATAACACATTCAGTATTAATCCACACAGTAGCAAAAGCTGAATTGTTTTGAATCATCACAGCCGCACGAGTGTAGGAACAGCTGACAATGGCCATAGCAAACGGCATAGGATCGCGAGCTTATAAACACACTTAAATATGTTAACAAATCAGCACACAATGCATTTTCAACATGGTTTTAGACACGATATGAGAATATAAAGAGTTAAACATACAGAACAGACCGGTTACAAGTAACAAAACTCCATTAAATACACATTTTGCAAGCTAGAGAAAACAAGGAGTCAATGATTTTAGTCGCACTTAAAGGGCCATGAAACCCCCTCGTTTCAGCAGGGTGTTTTCACACCTCTACTTTGGAAGAAGTCAGAAAAGTGGGCGTGTCCAGCTCTGTTTAGGGGGGAGTGTCGGAGGAACTAAAGTTGGATGGTGTGGGAGTGTCTATTTGGGCACGCGCGAGTTTCAGAGTCAAAATACACACAAACACACGGGAGAAAGTGATGGTGTTTACATGGACATCTGTAGTCGAATTATTTGCCAAACTATTAAATGGTGGACTTTAACTGCAGTTTGGCTCTTTCATTCAGGGAATTCATTCATGCACCTCGCGACAAACAAGATATTTGATTCGAGGATCTGCTCTAAGCGTGTATTTTTCATGCAATGTTTGATACCGCACGGCGAATGAGAGAAAAAAAACCTCCGCGTTTCCCTGAAACTTAGATGCACACGGCAGGTAGCGTCAGAAAGCCGCGTGTGTTATTCCGGTCACAAAAAAAAAGTTTGGTTGTGATATTAACATGTTTACATTCGGTGCAATAGTTAAGTTCGATACGAACAAACTGAATAAACAAAGAGCACTGGTCGCTCACTTACCAAATCTGTAGAGACAGGACAATCACCAGCAACTAGAGCCACGTCTTTATTAAGAGAAGACTACAAGCGAATCCGGATCTCAGCGTTTGCAGATAAGAACAGCTCTCAGGTAAACAATGTGCCTCCTTAGACACGCAAGTTATTGTTGTCGAGCGTCGCGTATACTGTTAATCCACGTGACTCCAGCTGAGCTCTCACAGAGAGAAAATGAAAACAAAACTTAACTGCAGCAAACTATAAAAGCAACACTTCACGCTTGTTTTGCCAACACAACGTGGCGTCTCTGTCGTCTAACCACTGTGACAGTAATGAATATTAATGAAGTTCCACAATAGAGCGCTCTGATTGGTTTGAACCAAGCCTTACTCATGCATTAATGCATCACACTGTAAGACGTAATAAGACACACTCTGGCACAGACGCTGAAGCACTCACAAACCGCTGAAGCACTCATCAGAAAAACGACTGGAACACAGCACAAGGCTGAGGCTATAATGCTGAGGTATTTTTGCAAAAATAAACTTCACTACTGACAGTTTACAGCCTCATCTTTGGGTAGGGAAAAAAACACTTACTTTTTCTCACTCTTCAGAGCACAACATCTTCATGACTTGATTCAACTGGGATCATCTGCTACAGTGTTTATCTTCCTTTTTTTTGCTACAGTGTTTGTGGACAGGGGTTTAAATATTCCTGGGTCTGTGTGCGCAACAGATGGGCAGGGCTTATGTTCTGTATCAATGTCACTCTGACATAGCTAAAGATTCGTTATTCTGACGATTCATTTTAGTCAACTCTTTTACGGATTAATCATTAGTTTTAAACATGGCACACTTTCATATTTAAGCCTTAGCTGGATATTTCACTTTTCTTAGAGCTGCATGGAAGGTCATTTTCAGAAACCCAGGGGCTCTTTAAAAAAATTTGAAAAATTGCCCATGGCAACTATGTACCATTGGCCAACTAGCTTTAATCAAGGTTGTTTTTTGGCCCTTCATAAGAAAAGTTTGGGCACCCCTGTCATGACTAAATAAGAATTGTCGGTTTAGATTTCGTAGTGACTTTTAAGAAAATCTTCAAGCTTAAACTTCAGAATAGCACTGTATATAATTTAAAACTAATTATTTATTTAGTGTATTGTCCCTCCTCTATCAGATTCTGTTTCTGTCTGGTCTGGCCTTCATCATTGGTTTAAAAAGGACGGCACACTTCTTCTTCCAGAGGCAGAAGCTCAGAAGCTCCGCCTTCTTTCTGGGAGGCGTGGCTTTAGTACTGCTAAGATGGCCTCGTATTGGCATGTTAGTGGAGACATATGGCTTTGTGCTTCTATTCAAGTGAGTAAACAGTTGATTCATATCCTGGCCTCATGTGTGAGATCTCTGTCTGATTAAGACTTCAAACCAATTTATTTGCCTCATTTTACATCCTTTACTTTTATTGATTTGAAAACATGCTGTTTCTCTGCTTGAAGCAGTTTCGTTTTTTCCACTATTTCTCTTTCCAGAAATGTATGATATTATATTTCCTATTCTTTGTATTGTTTGTAGATCTTTCTTCCCAGTGGCTTTTGGTTTCCTTGCAACGGTTTTCAACATTCCCTTTTTAACAACGGTAAGCCGTTTTATGATACTTGGATCATAGATACTAATTAAAGTTAAGCGCAACAACATATTTCTTTTTACAGCTGAACAATTAAGCCTACAGGCACCGACTAAACTTTTTCTTATTGTTCTTGTTCTCTCTCTTTCAGATTTTAAACAAGTTATCTGGTAGTAGTACATCAATGGTGTAAAAGCAGATTCTGGGAGAAAACATTCAAAACAAATAATGTGTGTGTGTTTGTGTGTGTGTGTGTGTGTGTGTGTGTGTGTGTGTGTGTGTGTGTATGTGCAATGTTAGAAAACCTTTTGAAAATTCTTTTTCAAGTTTTTCTGGATTTACTGGATTTATTAGGTATAGATTCGAGAAAAATGTAAACAATTCTTTCCAAATTTTAAAAAGCATACATATAAACATTTTCAATGCAGAGAAATTGAGAATTTTGTTTATAATTATTTTTTAGTTTTTTATATTTGTGTGTTTTTTTTTTAGTATTGTTGTCTCTATGTTAGCTAACACTTATATTATATTATAATAAATACATTTACCATTATATGTCCACTGTTCAAGAATGATATGTTTTGTGTTCCTTAATTGTTCCTTAACATCTTAATGGTGGGATCGAATACATTGATACAATATGTTAAATTGCTTTCATATATAAAGTGAAGTTTATTTATAAGCTAATTTCGAGAGAAACAAGTAATTATGATTAATCACTGCTGGTTCTGCATTACCTAAAGTATGATTCCCCAGCTGATTCCTAACTTAATATAAAATGTATACATTTCTATTCTTGCTTGCTTTTGCCATTGCTTTTCGGTGGGTTTTGCCAAAGTGGAGTCATTACCATATTCATATGGGGGAGGAGGACGTGCACGTGCACATGCGCTCAGTTTTAAGTTAATTCGGATGTACAAACAGAATATGTGTTGGATTCCGCAGTGTTTCATACATCTGATGTTTTTACATTTGTCCGTACGCAATGTTTTAGTATTAATTCAATGCAAGTCTTTGTACATAAGGCCCCAGGGCAGGCCGGAATTTTTAACGCCCAAAAATGTGCATCTCTGTGGGTCTACAGAGCACGCCAAACTGTCTGCACGAATGTTAAGAGGTCTTACGGGCACAGAACGAAAATGGTTAACAAGAGAAAATGTTTCACTACGTAATTGATCGTGAATGTTTCGTTATATTGAGCAGATACAAAAATTGTAAAAGGATGTTAATAATAGGAAAAAAATGTGTCACTAAATATACTTGAGCGGCCGTTAACGGGGTTACCTGGGTGGCCCGCCCAAGTAAAGTCTATGTGGTAAGCACTGGAGTTCAGTCATACAAAAATATATGATTTTTAAAAAGAGGCAACCAACCCCACACCTAAACCCAACTGTCATTGGGGGATTAGCAAAATTTACTAAAACAACCAATGAGAATGTACAATTTCATACAAATTAGCCACTAAATCAAAAAGTTACGAATTGCCGTGCAAAAGCATTGAACATACATACATTTGCCTCATTACATGCATAAGCAGCAAATTCCACAATATACACATTAAACTAACAAAACATACTAAACCGACCCTTTACCTTTCCTGCACAGCAAAATATGGGGACCCAAAACAACTCTATGGGTGTTAATTTCAACCCTTTGAAAGTGTCTCATGGGGTCCACTCAAAACAGAGTTAAATCAACACTTTCAAAAGGGTTGGCACATTGACACCGAAGTAAGGGTTAATTTTAACTCTGGGCAGAGTTAAAAATGTAACTATATTTAACACCGCCTGGTAGTAATTTTTTTACTACAATATATTGTTATTTTATTCAACTCTCTTGAGTGTAAATATGGTAAAAAGGTAAAATAGACTGTAAATTACAAAAGAAAAAACATTTTATTTGAAAACATTCACCACTTCAACAATTCATTCAGTTTTTAAAATGCAACAATGTCAAATATGCTTTAAATGTTTTATTAGTACAGACAGTATCAACAAAATATGTATGACCAGTGCTCAAAAAGGCTGTTTCAGTCCTTTGGTCCAAACTTGATGTTTCATCAGAGCAATTTGAAAGTTCAATATAGCGTCACTCATAGTTTTCTTCTGAACTCATAGTTTTCTTGTAAAATTACATTTTAAACAACTTGGTGTGCAAATCTTTCACTTCGGGTGTTTCCTTGGTCCTCCATATCAAACACAGCAGTTTAAATGAAGGTATAAATGCTGTAAACTTGTGTGAAAACAAACTGGAGCTAGGAAATCTCATCAAGCATGTCCTGTGAATGAAGTGCTTCCCAGCCACAGGATGACCTTTTTATCCATGATGATGTAGCAGCTGCTGATCGCTCGTCTGGTGGTTCCTGATGCACGGATATACTGTAGGGTGATGCTCATCTAAGAACTCTTCAAGTCTCCAGCATGACTAAGAAAAATGTTTGAAAACAAATTGCAATCAAATTCTATGATATATTTAAAAGAACATTTAAAGTAAATAAAACATTCAAGAAATCTAAACTCACCTTTTGAAAATCTTCATGATGATCCACAACTTGACTCTCCCAGCTGGTTGAGGTGACAGGATATGGAAAAGTAGAAAAAACGCATACATCACTGTTGGATCTCCAAAAACAATTAGGTTAACCACTATGACTAGAACTGGAAAAACAGGCAGCTGTCTGTCCAGAATCCTGAATTTAACACAACACTTGGAGCAAAATTTAGAGGAGCTTAAAATCTTTTATATCATTTAGTGATGCTGACTTCCCCAAAATATTGGCCACAGTGTAAAAAATATTCATAAACTTCATAAACAACACTTTTCTGTAAGCGTGTGCGTGCGTGCGTGTATGCACGCGTGCATGTTTCTTTACCAGATTCAACTTGTTAGGCCCTTTCAGGTCCAGTATTGACGCCACCTTTCCTGGAGTCTAGCAGATGTTTCAGGTCCAAATATAATCTAAAATATTAGGATAAGCAGAAGAGGAAAAGTGCAAAGCAAAGAGTAAAACATTATTTAAGTAACCGTTCACCCACAATACAAAACTTTTCACCTTCATGTCATTCATTATTCTTTAATGCTCTAATACCCTCTTAGCTTATGTGAAACAAATACAGAACTTTATCAAACATACCTTCATTATTATAATTACCACATATGACCAAGAAGGTGTGCTTGGTCATTTCACCAACTCTGGAAATACACCATCCGTCTCTAATCAGCCACCGTCACAGGGTCTTGTGTTATTGTATAGAGAACTGTGGCTGTTAAAAAAACAACAAAAAATTAGTATCTAACACATATGCATAACCTTCAGATAAAAGAAGAGATGAACATCACAAAGTATGCCTCACACTTTTTCAGATATCTTTTGATTCAGATGTTGATTATTGATAATAAATCTACAAATCAAACCTGTATCATCATTAGGCTGCTCAAATATGAATCAGTTGATTAATTTTACAGACAGGTGGCTGTTTACAACGCACTAAATTGTCTTTAATAAAACGGAAATGTTGTGTACAGTACATGCTAAGTTTAGCCTATAGTTTTAAGCACAATATCATGCGGGAGAAAAAGCTTGACTAAGATGTTCCTGACTACATAAATAGCCTAACTTACTAACGTCAGACATCCCGAGTTGGGAAAAGTAATTTTCGGGGGATACAGAGTTGATTTGCGGGAGGTAGCGGGAGAGATGAGAACCTGAAGAGCAATGGGATGAGTTGCGCGCGACGTACCTGAAGAGCGGTGGGGGTGACTTGCGCGCAACGTACCTGAAGAGCTGGGAGGGATGCGGTGGAGAGGGGTGTGCAAAGTGTTTAATGACCGGGCGGGAGACGCGCGATTTCCGGGAGATTATCATTCATTTGCGGGCATCTACTTGGGCATCTGGGAGTCATGCGGGATAACGTTAACGTTAGTCCCGCAACTTCCGGGAGACTTCTGTAACCTTAAATGTCTGAGAAAGTGCAAACGCGGTCATTTAAAGACATTAATGTTAACATTCCGACTTTAATGGTTGTCAACACTTAATATAATTCAAGCGTACGTTATCACGCGAGTCTATGGACTAACGGTGTATGGACGGCCACGAATGAACCAGTTTAAAAGGGCCGCGGTGTTTAAAAGAACTAAATTAACGTACACGAATAACAAAAAAATCATATGTTTTAGTCAGGAAGCCTTTTACAAGTAAGCATATGTTCATTTACTCACCAGATATGTTTTAGAAACTCTCCAGAGCTCATGGAAACCGTCCTGTGTTGCCGTTAGCATCCGGGCAGAGTAGGCTAGGCTGCTCCGGGGATTCCCTCGCTAGTTTGCTTTGAATTAAAGGAGAAGTGTCGATTTTATTTTACAGATGGGTAACAACGCACAAAATGGCATTAAGCGTGACAGAAATGTGTTGAACATGTACATTTGATGTTTTTATGCACTATGTATGCGTGAGCATGTATAAAAACATTCTTGAATTGAAAAGAAGTGAATAGTAATGCAGTTAAGCTAGATACACAAACGACCATGAATGAACCGCAGAAGATTAAAATTGTCACTCCATTTTAAAGTTATTAACTTAACAATATGTTTACAACTGTATTTCCTTAGAGAAAGTCAGTAAAATGCCAACATTTAGGTAGTAAAATGCCAACATTTACTCACCAGTTGCTGTTCTAAACCTCAGATGGAAAATGGCGTCTGGAAAATTCTTCAGTGACTGGGGCTGCATGAATTCCCGGATGTTGGAAATAACACCACCAAGTGTAGAAAAGATAACTCCTTGATTTCGCACTGAATAAAATCAATTCTAACTCTTATTATATTCATTTATCAAAATCTAACTCTTTAACGTCAACACTTTACTCTGAAATGCTTCAACACCGAGAATTTAACTCAGATGAATTTGCTGTGTGGGTGTCACTGAATACATTTATAAACCATGTATCCCGCATTTTCTAATGAGCTGTAAACATACAGTATGAGACACTTCATTGTCATGCATGGTGGCCTGCTTTACAGAACTGCTTACTCTTCCTTAAAGCCATTCCTGTTTTTAAAATAAGAGTCTGATTTGCATAGTAAGTATAATACAAGCTTAAATAAACTTAAATAAGAATAGTAAGAGATATACTTTTTTAAAAATGTATAATGCCTTTAAAGCAAACTTAAAAATAAAATAACATTGTTGTAATCTCACTAGGAAACATTGTGATGTTTTGTGGATTGCCACAGTATGTGTTTTGTTTCATTTTGCCTGTATTTTAATGGTATTTCATACTCACGAGATTAA